GCTCATCAATCACAGCTGCAACACCACCTGCATTGGGACCATCTTGCAAGGCTTTCTCAAATTCTTCTGGTGAGTTAAGGGGCACAAGTCTGGAACTGTGTATGTTTAGCTCATCGGTTAAGTACTTTTGAGCAAAGGAACCATTTGAGAAACCAATGGGATCATTGCCTGTTACTAGACTTTCAATCCCTTTAATAGGGGAAGAAAGCTGCTCCACTGTGAGGATTGATGTCAGGCTTTCAAGGTAGCTTGAGTTGATTATAAGACTAAGAACCAGATATTTTTGTAAGATTGGTGCATAACACAAGTTTCCCTATAGATGTGTAACTCAAGTAGCATGGATACAGAACTAAAGCACTATGTAGTAAACTTACTCTGGGAAAAGAACAGAGTTGAAAAGCTAAACCTGCAAAGCCCCACAGAAAAAGGATATAATATATGACCTACCAGTTGGGGAGTTTGTCCCAATTAAAGAGAAAGATCAACCACCCAAGTAAATACTTGTATATAATTTGCTACATTTGCATTTTGATATATGGATTGAAACACTAACCATAGAATTGTGACACATTGTTCTCTTGGAAGGCCCCGGAAATCCTCGTTTGTTCTACGCTCCAAAATCCAAACAACTGCTCCCACAGCTAGGAAGAAAAGACCTGTGACAGTCCACATCACTGGGGTAAAAGGTCTCAGAAAAGCCCAAGCACTAGAGTTCAATTTCCTTTTTGGAGCAACTACAATAAGTCCAGACTCAATATATGGCTGTTTAAAATCCACCATCTTTGTTCTGCTAGTGGTAATGGTAATGTCTCCTACCACACCGTCAAGCTCCTGCATGAATATGGAAAACCAAAAAACTATATTAAGATGAGAAACATGCATACAATATATGTTAAGCAAGTCTAAATAATTTTATTTTGTAATTTATACTCACACCATTTTGCATACTGCGCAGAACTTCATTGGGGTCTTAGTTTTTTTTTTTTCCCGAAAGGGACAAATTTATATGCCACTCCATATTGTAAGTCGCTAAAGGCAGCTGGGAAGACCTCAATGCAATAACCAGTGATATCAGTGCCTTTTACTTTCAGAAACTCGCGGTAGCTAACTCGACGTGGAACTCCAATTCTGAGCTTTTTTCCATTGTCAGGGAAAACCCACCCACGAGGC